TTTTGCTTGTGGGGAGAGTGCCTTGCCAGGGACAGGATCTTTCTGCTGAGGTGGTGTTGACCGCAAGGGGCTCAGAAAGCCCCCCGCTGCTCAGACCGGCTGCTCTCAGGCTGGGGTGTCCTCCTGGGGGACATGCTTGAGAAGCTCTCCCAGACCATGGTCTAGACCTCTACAGTTTGTGGCAGCTCAAAGGTACGTGAGGCAACCTGAAGGCAAGGCAGGGTAAGCCCCACTCTCCAGGTTGGGGTGAGGGTGCTGTCAGCGAAATGTCTAACGGAAGAAGGCATCCACGAAGTGCTTCTGGGGAGGCTGAAGGCCTGGCGCACACACAGCCGCTCCGGGCCTGTGGGATGGAGGCTTCTGGGTAGAGGACAGCTTTCCGCCGTGCACCTGAATAATTGAGTTCGCTGTAAGTGGCTGGCCCTCTCCTCTGCTCGTTCCTTAGTTTGCAGTTGTAAAACGGCACACCTTGCTCTCTCTGCTCCTTGTAACTGTTTGTCTGCCTTTGAAACCAGGGCTGTAATATTGCAGGTATCTTTCATTCTGTCTCCTCCCCAGACAACAAGATTGCTCAGAATTTTGAAGCTTGAGGAGAGAGAGAGGGAGGGAGGGAGGGAAAGAGAGATGGAAAGGAAGCCGGAGACCCTTGGAGCAGGTGGTTTGGGGGATGTTTCTGGCACTGAGCGGGAGGCTGAGGAGCAGGGCCCTCAGGAGGGGAGGGGACAGTGGCTCGTGGCTGAAACTCCCCGGAGAACCAGCCTTCTCCAGCCCGGCAGCCTGCTAGTTTCTCTGCAGACTGTCAGCTTGCCAGTCCTGGGGCGTCGGACCCTAGTCCTTAGCTGGAAATTGCGTGAAAGCTTGCTGGGACATCTCATTTTACCTGTCAACTCCCCAGGACACTGTGTCCCCGCCTACTGGCAGTTTCTGCTCTGGACACCTGGCCCCAGGCCAATCCCCAGCCACAGCTTTCTCTGCCTTGTGGCTCTGCCCATGAGCAAGACAGAGGGTTTGCTGGTGTCCCGGTCACCCTCTCCCACCCGTTTGCCCTTCGTCATTGGCTCTCAGCTCTGGAATGCCTCT